GATTCATGTGTCTACTTTAGTGATATTTTCATTAATCCGCTTTTTGGATCCAATTAAAAGACACACATATGCTACTTTTTTGTATCAGTATCAGTGATATTAAGCACTTTTTAAAATCATCCTTTCTTTTAATGCGTTACAAATTTAAAAAGACAATTAATTGATACCGAGTCTGATGAAAAAAATCAGTTTATTAGAATTCTTTTACAAACGCCATTTTCGAATTAGGAGAGAAGGAAACTTTCACAAAGAATGGATAAGAGGGGTTAAATTCAGGTTTTTGTACTACTTGTAATAATATTCGAATGTCGCCTGGAAAGATGGTCGATTACTGCAGTTAAAATAATGTTTAAAAAAATCTGGTAAGTATTTGTTTGCGTATAAATGAAAGTCGCTTTCACATGCAACTGTTCGATATGACAGGTAGGATAGTACTTTCTTTAAATTAAAAAAAATCAATAGAGAATCAGGAGACTATTTCATTTCAATTAATTATCACTCCTGGAGAAAGACGAAACAGTCATCTTATCACTTCCTTTATTAACAACAAAGACTGTTTTAAATTAATTATCCCTCTTATTCTCAAAGGGAAACGAACAATGTATGTATGCTATTCATGTAAGCGAAATATATTAAACTCAAAATTGGCATCTTTATGTTTCATCAATGTCAATTCATACAAATAGTTCAAAACTATTGCTTTGTTAAAATAGACATTTGTCATTAACAGATAACAGGGTTTTCATCATTTGCATCCCTAGCGTGTATTATCTTCCGTTATCGTGCTGGCCATGCAGTATAATTACATAACAACATATTTTTATGAATTCGTTTTTGAATTTTTTTTAAAGATTAATTTTTTTTCCGTGGCCTTTTGTTATTCATTACCAAATAAAAAAAACGAATGCATCTTCGAATTCATGATCATTGCATTGTCCTTTTGAAAAAGCCACATGCATGTAGTGAACATATATATATCGTTTTATTTATGAAGACAACTCAATTAAATGAATTAAGAATTGGCTATAAGACTTAAGTTTGCATTAATCTGATTGATGTAATGCTTTACAGATGTATTATTATCTTAATTTCTTGAGTACATTTTCAATAATAAACATCATTGTTCACTTTTAGATCCCTAAAGCATATGTTTTGGTTCAAAAGATTTGATTGACAAAATGTCAGTTATCCCACACATTAACAATATTTTGCAATTTGTTGAATTCTTTTGAGAATTTTTTTTTTTTTCAATATTCAATTACGAAATTAAAAAAATAAATGATCTGATCGAAATAGCAAAACAAAAAGGAGTTTAAATTTCAATAAACATTAAGATGATAATCTACGTGTAAATGCATGTTTGTAAATACACGATAATACATGTAAGCTTGTAAAACTTCAAAAAAAAAAAAAAAAAAAAAAAAAAAGAAAGAAAGAAAGAAAAAACAGGAAGAATCGAAGTTACAGCTAGGTCGAAGTATTTCAGAACTTAGAGCATGTTTCAAGTGCATGAGCATAATGTACTGGCAAATTAGATATCGTGGGTAATAAATAATAATAGAGTGGATGGAATCATTTTTCCTTGGATTGACTTTTGTTACATATATTAACTGTATTATTTTTAAATTGATATCATATTAAAATGATGAAAAGAAAAATTTGACTCTCAGTGGAACAGGTGGAACCAATTGTTTCTGTAGTTCTCTCTCTTTCTCTCTCTCTCTCTCTCTCTCTCTCTCTCTCTCTCTCTCTCTCTCTCTCTCTCTCTCTCTCATATGTATGTAAATACACAATTCTGTTCTAATATAAAAACAATGGGTGCTTTGTACAAAATGAGTTGTAATGAAAAAATATAATAAAATAAAAACTGCAGTATTTTTGTTATGGTAGTCATGCAGTGACATTGATATTTATATATAAAAGAGAATGTATTAAACTGTAAGCTTTAAAGCCATTGAACAATTACCAGCACCTTTAGTGTCACGGGACCTCCACTTTTATGGTCTTGCCCGAAAGAATGTACTATCCACTCAGCTTCGGAACGATGTAGTTTTCTATGAACAATAATATCATCTAGCAATATAAACGTTATAAAAAACCAAACCCCTGATATTTTTTTTCATGTATTCTATCAAAAACCTTTCAAATCATGTGTAAGTCCTTGAAACAAAAATAATTTGAGAATTAAAAAAAAAACATTTCTAAAAAAAAAACAATAAAGTGAATTATTTCAATTCAAGGTAATTATTGAATCTTTCTCTCTCTCTCTTTCTCTCTCTCTCTCTCTCTCTCTCTCTCTCTCTCTCTCTCTCTATATATATATATATTATATATATAATTTTGTAAGTTTGCATTGAAAAACTTCATCTGAAATTAATACCATTAGACACAAAGAATAACTTTTTATGAAATATTGTCGAGTATTTACATTTGCGAAGCTTTGTACTAAGCTAACAGTAAAATTGATTTAAATGCCATTGTCGTGTGCGTGAAATATGCATGGAAAACTTCAGCTGAAATTATATCACATTGAGATTACAAAGACGTTTATTAAATGTAAAGATATAGGACAGCGAGAAATTCAAATCTGTCGATACAATGAATTTGTTGGGAAATGCAATTTATAATAATAAAGTCAAATGCTGACTGACATTTTTCATACAAATTGTTAGACAATTATATACAAGTAAAAAGTGAATTGTCCTGGGATGTTTCCGTTATTTCCTGATCATGACATGTAGCCGACGACGGATGTGACCGGTCGGCAAGGGATGCTCACTCTTCCAATGCACCTGATCCCTCCTTTGAATTTTTGAAATCCGTGCTTGTTTTGCTCAAATTTTGTATTGATTAATGTACTTTTGAGGTTGAATATTATTTGTTATTTCCATAGAGTTCATTATTGCAACACCATATACATATTTGGAGTGCGCCATTAATGCTATATTGTTTTAAAAATTATATTGGAAAAACTCTTTTTTTATTTTATATGTAATTAACATTGACCTCAGTATATGTACATGCTTAAGAAGGGAAAATTGGCTATGGACAAAATTCAAAACAATTATCGCTTAAAGCAAACTTTAAGATTGTAATTTCCAAATCTAAAATGAATAATTATATAATACACAAGATATATCCCAATGATGTCTTTTATACATGTTGATTCCGAAATGAAGATAAATGGAACGACAAGACACGGCGACCCTTTTCTCCACTGGAAAAAAGCTTACTAGTAAACAATTCGGCCCAATATCGCAGTAGATGCGACATTGGATTATAAAGCGTAAACTGACCCAAACCTGGGGCCCGTTTCACCAAAGCCTATTCAGAGAGCTACTCCGGCGTAAAGCCGGGACAAGCTTAACAGTTTTCCTTTTATCAAAAAGCGTATCTTGATCCCGGGACTATATTTAGGCTAAGATTTTACGTCCGCACATGGCCATAGTTAGGCATTCGTTCGGGCGCGAACATAAAATTAAGCAAATAGTAAGGGACTTTTTTCTATAGCTACATGTATCTAGAGTTTAGTATATCGTAACCACTTTATGAACCTTCGTCCCATTTTAATAAACATAAGCAAGATAATGAATCATGCATTCGAGTTGACGAAACTATGAGTATTTTGTTTTAGACATAGAATGCATTTTTATACAGAATCCTTAGTAGTAAATATATAAAGTTTATTTCTTGATTTAAAACATGATCATGTGTAAATCCTCTTTTTTCATGGAAGTATATATTTCCTATGAAAATACAGATTGAAAACCTTTTTCTGTCTTAAACCTACTTAATTATATGTACCTGAATCAGTTTTTATGGAATCTAGACATTTATTATCGACTGCGAAGTCATTAACCTGTATCAATTTCGGGAAGGGGTACAGTTACAGTTACTTATTACAGTAACCCCCTCCCCCATGAGTGTCTGTAATTAAAACTCTAAAATAGATATTCCAGCTTGATTCTAATACATTTTCCTTTCACTTATAAGACATTCAATATTGAAAATGTAAAAAAATAAAACTATTTTTTACAACGCTTTAAAGATACATTCCTCCATCAAAACCCTATAAAGCCATGCTGGTTTCTTTTTTAATCAATGCAAGAATTCATTAATCTATAATATGTTGTTAATATGTACTTTGAAGTACAGTATTACAGGTACGTGTATGTGCACAATGGACAATGTTTAGGTATTTGTGCATGTGCAATGCAACGTTGTCAAGGACTTAGCCCAGTCCTGAGACTAAGAGTATCGTTTACGACTATAGACTAACCCCGATTTGTGAAACGCAAATTACGCCTGACTTTAATTTTGGCTCAAGTCCTGGAAGTACACATGAGTTATGGCTTAAATTTACGACTTTTGATATAAAGGGTCCATGGTTATGCTCGAATAAATTGACCAAGAATTGCTTAAATATTAATAATTCATAAATAAATAAATGAAATCAAACTAGCAAATGGAGACCAAAAAAATCATTTTGTTTTCCTAAAAATATAGTAAACAAAACGCTTACAATTCTTCTTAAATCTTGTTAAAGGAAAAATTATCATGGGAATTATCTGAAGAATATACAGAATATTTTTTATCAAAGTGAGTTATTTCATTTTAAAGAGAAACACATTCTTACAGAAGATTATTCATGTCTTCGTTTCTTTTTTTATTAGTTAATGAAAGTATTTGAGATTTAAATTTTGAAAAATTTTGTTATTTATAATCGCAAAGGTACATTCCCTCCATGAATCAATCAAATTTATTGGCTTATAGATCCAATTAAATATTCTTACTATTTTAAAGGCTTTATTGATTTAGAATTACACACTGAAACTGCTTGTTCATGCTTAAAGCTTTTGTGCTATTCAACCGTTTAGCAATCATTTATTTTTGAAAATCCATTTAAACAAATTACATTTCAGGGATCCTTTCTGAATTAAAATGACATTTATATCTTTTCTATAATGTTAGTATTTAAAGTGATTATATTTTGTTTTGCAATGTATTATGCTGAATCTGAACAAAATGACAACCTTATCAATGTAACGTTATCGGGACATTGCGTTAAAACAAGCAGGATCGTAAATATTTTACCTATTTTAGGACGGAAACAGTGTGTTCAAGAATGTTCACAGAACGGTAAATGCAAGTCTGTGAACTACCAAAAACAACATCTGAAATGTGAGCTTATATCAGCAAAACATGGCGATCCGGGATTAAGTTTAGTACTGGGTTCAAATTGTGAGTACATTGAAATGGAAAATCAGCCTCAGGTCAGTAATGATACTAATTTTTCCAATCACGATCTAGTTGTAGTATGGTTGATTCTTTTTTTTGGGGGGGGGGGATGGATAAGTCCTTGTTACACATCAGCAGATTATTTTTAAGAAAACATTGGATTTGGGGAGCGACAGAGCTAAATCTGGAAAGAATTTTAATTTTTCTGTGCATAAATGATTACCTGTATACATCTTCAAGATTTATATCTCTGTAAAATTGAACTCTTTGTAAACAATTATAAGCGTTGTTTCTACGAATTCTTTTACTGTTTTTTTAGTTGAAAAATGAGGCAATTTGCAATTACGACTTAAAAGCAGTATCCATGAGTTACAAAAGAAAAACAAAATTAGACATATATAGGATATATTTATGATTCATTAATGAAGTGCATTTGATCGAATTGATGTATCACCCAAATGCACATGACAGTATAAATTCGCCAAGTTAATTATTATTATTATTTTTTGAGCGATATTGTTAATGCTAGAAATTTCTTATCATCTTATTTGTATTTGAATATTACAAAGTCTATCATACGAACATTCGGTCTAAGAGAAATTTCATTCATAAAAGGGAAATATTTTCCTTATTTGTTAACGTATTGAAGAAAAAAAAACAATTATGTAAAAATGGATACATTGTTTTAAAAAGTCAGTTCTTTCATATATTCAGGAAAATAAAACAAAAACAAAAAAAAAATACAAAGAAGAGAAACTATGCTTGAGTATTTCGGTTGAAAGGTTTAATTACAAAGAAAAATGTAGAGATAAAGGGTAGCAATTTCAAGCTCAAAAGTTTAAAATTTAAAATTACAAAATAGGAGCCGAGCAAAAAAGGACCTACATAACATCAGAGATTGGGATCATGTGCCATGAACAAAATTTTTAAACATCCATTAATTTAATTTATTATTTTTATTATAGTATCAAACATGACTTTACGAATTGAAATGTTTTCAGGGTATTTAAAAAAAAAACAAGGAAAAGAAAAAAGAAATAACGATTCTACGTTAGCCCGTTGAGGCCAGTTCAGAGAAAAACGTAATTATATTGCAATTGAACGCAATAAAAAAATATTACACTCTCTGAACTAGCCTCATAGGGCTTCCTTACAATTCATTGTAATTAATGAAAATTCTCTAAATTTCGAATGTACCAGTAATTTAGGGAAATTCATTAAAATTATTATTTCTTTTACAGGAGTTTACTAAATCCTGTGAGACAACCTCTTCTTGTAGTGGACATTGCACTTCTCTGACCAGCGGAAAACCATTCTGTACACAAGAATGTAAGTAATTCTATATTCTAATTCAATATTCTATATTGGCTGCATGTGTTCTCATGAAACTTTTGAATCATTTTGCAAACATATGAGAATAACGCAAAACCGTTTTTAATCTACATCAAAATTCGACTCAATTTTTAGGGAAAAAACCGATAAAACATCTTTAAAGGAATCTTTATTAAATATTTATAGAATTCATGTTATTAAATTTGAATATTGAGTAATGTGCCATCCCTAAGGATTTGAAAAGCATTTGTCTCTTAATCATAAGATAAAAGTACACCGACAAAAATTTGTATTCATGATTATTTTATAGAGTTCATATTATTGCATGGATGATTTTTACAGAAACAATTCTTTGCTTAAAAATAAAGTGATTTAATTTTGTACCATGATAATCTATTTTTACAGCTAATGAAAAACGCCAAAGTATAGAATGTCCTTCATCATGGCAGGTTATTGGGGACAAGAAATATTGCCTTGTAAACAATGCACTCTCCTGGCAGGCCTCTCAAGTATGTATGAAAATCACTATGGATAACCCAATAATGTTCTTCATAAAATTTCAACAAAACGCAACGAATTGTCATATGCATCAAAAGAGAAGTCAGGTCTTTTTGCTGGAATATTCGATCTATATCAGTTTTAAAGATATAATTATGTGTTCTTTTATGGTTTTTTTTTTTTCATTTCAGAATAGCTGCATTTTGATGGGGGCAAATCTTTTGGCAATAGAAACCGAAGAAGAACAAACTTGGATTGGAGAAAAACGTAACATTTATCTGTTGTTCTTGATTGATTTACGTTTTCAATTCATCAATTAAGATTATATTATTTAGACAAAGGGAAATATCAGTTATTAATTGTTCTTTTTACTGAAAAAAGAAAACACAAGTACTTTTACCAATGAAAATAAGATAACAATTAAGAACACATTAACGCATTAAATATTTTACTTATTTGTCAGTTAGCTACACATATTCTGTAAATTTGCAGTCTCTGGAAATGATTGGTGGATAGGGGGTACAGATGAATATTCTGAGGGCATTTTTTACTGGAAACACTCATACACAGCGTTGAATTTCACAAACTGGTATGATGGGGAACCGAACGCACTTGCGGGAGAAGATTGCATCGAAATGTATTCCGGAGGTGGCTGGAATGACAATTTGTGTAACTCAACTCGTTCCTATATTTGTGAAAAATAGATAAAATAATGAAGAACTTTTTTTTAAAGGAAAGTTACAAACCAAAGAGCTTTAAATGGCAATGTTGAAATGAAGGTCAAGTTTATAAATAAGACACTCCCCGGTTTAATCTGAATTACTCTTTTCTACTCAACAGTATATGATTGAAATTTGGATTCTTAAATAAAACTTCTATGAAAACATTTCCATCTTCAGTGATAAAACTGTTATATTTTAAGTTTTTAAAAATAAAATGCAAAAATGGACTCGAAGGAGTTTGCACGAGGAGAATGGATGTTTTCTATTATTGCTAATTTCACTTTTAGTTTGGATCGAAAGTAAGTGTACATTCTGCGTGGAATAAGTTTTCAAAAGTGAAGATTTTTTTTTCATTCCCAGGGAAACATTTCTCCAAAATTTATAATAGGAAAACATCAGCATCTACTATTTTTAATTGCTTTTTATAAATTGAATCAGAATTCTTTTTGACCGTGCGGAATAAATGGCAAATACAAGACAGTATACAGGGCTAATACGGATCGCAAAATACATGTCGTTCCGCCCACCACATTCCCCTTTTGCATTTCTAATACAGAACAGTTAACTTCGAAGAAACCACCACTATTTTGTCAGAACAATAGTGAAGGTGTACTTTAAAGAAAATATATAAAGCAATAGTGTAAATAAAATGTAGATACTTAAAAATTCCAACGAACTTTCAAAGAATTTGAAATAACAAGATTTTACAAAAATCAAAAGCTTGAAAATTAACGACTCTCCAACATTTTACATATCCATTCATCTTTATAAATTGAAATTTAGGCTTTTTGATATCAATGGCAGCTGATTTAAAAAAAAAATTGAACTCTTAAAATTAACTTTCCTTGTCATTGGTCTTTTGCAAAATTATGTTCTTGAAAAGTATTCTGACCGTACAGACAAGTACTCTGAAACTTGACGTAAAAATGCTTGTTTCTGAATAACACTATATATGTGTTTCTTTAAGACCAGGTCTTACAACAATCAATTGGGATTCCCATGGGTACCAATTGCGCCCCGTTACCAGCAGACATAGTTTTGTATTCATATAAAGTAAATTTGTGCAAAATCGTATGCTTGAAAAGAAGAAAACACTTACCGTGGCCTTCAACTCGACATTTAGATATATCTACAAAGTATTTTCAAATTTGATTGGTCACTATATACCAATGAGAGGACTCAAATTTATTTTACCTAGTATTCTCGGGTCATTGAACAATGAGGGATATTTATCGATCCTATGCCTGTCGTGACACAGATCCTCGGTTTTACCATTTCCCATTAAATAAGTTCAGTCATGGTGAGATTCGACCTAATTACCTCGCGATCAAGGATAGATGAAAGGATGTGTTTAAAGAAAACAAATTTTTCTGTATCTGATATTGGATGCTTGCATTTTATTTACTATATTGCGTAGAAACTGCATTTTTTTTATTTAAAGAGATAAGCAAAACCGTTTACATGGCCGTTAAACATTATTACCGTATTTGGAGGGATTTAAGATTTCATAATTTGTCCATAATGATTTTTTTCTGAGCAAACAATTACATGCAATGAGTAAAATTAAACGCACTGTTTTATATGGGCTCCAAACAAACGGGTCCATACTCATTTAAAAACCTTCGTAGAATTTTCCAGCTAAACAAGCTAAGGTTCAATTAAAATGCCAGTTGTAAATCAATTTTAATTATTATTAATAATGTTAATATTAATATATCTTTTATGAATAATTCACTTGAACAACGGAACACATTTATTTGAAAAGAAGGAAATTCTCGTGCGATGAAATAAAAGAAATCATTGATTAAGCTTACTTTTGAGTAAATGCAGTGCAGTATATCTCTATAGATTATGAAAACTTTAAATATAACAAATAGATTTTATCATAATTTGAGTAATTGAGGAGAGTTCAATTCACACAGTTTAGAAAAAATATGAATGAAACCTGATCTGATGGATCAAAATCAGGATTTCCTTATAGTATAGTTCCTCAATTGTGAACTTAAAATGATAGAAATAGACGTTATTTATCTACACGGAGTTTATAAATATGTTTTTCCTGCTTTCATCAAATGAAGTTGTAGGATGACAAGACATACACCTATCATTAACGATGGTCAGATTAATAGAATTTATTGTTGTCAGTAGTACTTATTTTCAAACTACCAGTGGTCAAGATGGTCGATGTGACGGGTATGTACAAGGTATTAACATACTTTTTTTATCGTAGAGATATTGAAATCAATTTACATCACTTGTTTAAGTTTTGTTTTGTCAAATTGCACTGGCATGCATATACAATTGGCCCCTTACATTTACAGCTATTGATATCATGTAGTTCGTAACCTTATAAATAACTAACGAAAGTAAACAAAAACAACTTCGACTAGTAAAATGGATACATGCATGATGCATTACTCAATAATAGAAAAAAGAATTATTTTCTTTGACTTCGTTTATTGTTATCCAAAACAACCCTTGCAAAATAGGGGGAACTATCACGATTTGTTGAATTCAAAAAGTTAATTAATAGATTAATAGATTAACTAGATTAATAAAATGATTTTTTTACAGTCCGCTGATGTGCTGTCGAAGATTTAAATACAATGAAGAAGAAAATATATGTTTGTGTATTCAACAACAACCCATACTTGGATGGCATTACAAAACATGCGACTAGAGAAATCACTGATATTGATTGTTTGAAAAATTGAATGTCTATTACAAGTCATTGATATTGAATTCGAATTAGTATTAAGAAAGACACCTCACTGTCGTACCATGGTAAACAATACTGGCTTCTATTTATTATTACTTTCTATATAGACAAGTATTGTTAAGGTTTTTAGTAGATATGTCAGCAATTTCATAAGATTAAAGGTACATTCTTTTTAAGGTCTTTTAGCTGACATTTTTCAGAAATGGAATAATTGATAAAAATGTCAAGGGAAAATACATTTTTATTAACAATTACTTGTACATATATTACGTAACTTTAAGAGATATATTTAGCAGTACATATATCGTCCGAAAAATTCAAATAATCATGGGGTGTACTACATGTAAGGTAGAAGAAAAACCATCTTTGTTAATGTATTACTATTTCTACACTTTCTACACTCTTTCATATCAACGAGTTATATAAATTCTAAATTGTATTAAATTATCGCTGCAATTACATTGGTACATTTGAAACAAATAATTATTTATTAATTAATTTAAACCTATCCATTTCTTCCTCCAGTGGATCTATGTACAACTACTTCTCAATGCAATTTGACGTAAAATGCACGAACTATAATTATAATTACAGAAAAGCATAAAAATCACATATTGAGTTTAAATCATCTTACACATACATTGTATGCAAGTTATGTAGATATACTAGTTAAAAAGAATTCTCTTTCTGAATGTTATTACCCACGTGTAAAGAGTTATCGTTCTTTGTACAAATATGTATGATACGGAAAAATAAAAATATGGCAGTTCTATAAATTTTTAAAAAGTTTTATTATACAATTCAATACATTGACCAAAATTGAATTTTTAAAGATATAAATCAGCAATTTTAAATATTCTGAATTTATTTTTTTTTTCAAAGAATATTATTAAAAACTTATATTGAATCCTGTTACAAAATATTTCATATATATACTTCTCAACACGGTTTAAAAGCGTAGTAGAGTATG